GTTAATCCCCGTAAGTGGAACTGTTATCGTCAGTCAATTCCCTTCTTTATATATTATAATTTAACTGGCTACATACACAAAAGTTACATGTTCTTGATGCGCATTCAACTGCGAGTACTACAGCCAATTAAACATTTCGAGTAGCGAGTAGACTAAATGTTCGCGAGATTCATTATTATAGCCATAGTTTGCGCCTGCTGGTCTGAATCGGTAGATTACCGTGTATTTGTTTTGCCGCGTGCCCGGTTTCTTCCCCGATCTCCCCTCGCTGCCTGGCGGACCGAGTAGCCTGGGAGCGGGGGCGACGGGAACGGGGGCACGCGGAGTCGATCGCTCAGGGATCCGCGTTTTCGGAGTTAGTTACGGCTACGATAGTCTGACGATAACCACGAGTCTGTAAACGATTTTAGAGAGTGACTCAATAAACGTGATTTTACCACGGACCACACCGTCGACCTCTGCAAACGACCACGTGTTCCCCGGCTCCCTCTCCTGCCTCCGGCCTAACTAGTGCAAGGCCCGCTGCCTGATCTCTCTTGATCGGCAAGGGTTGAACATAAAATTTGGTCCTTCGAGCCGGATCTAGAAGCGACAGGAGGGAAGGGGCTCTCGAACAGTGAGGTGTCCGTGGAAATCGCGTTTGCGCGGTGTAGGGGGTGAAGCTGGTGGTGAGGTTGTGTGTGCAGTGGAGGTGCATTGGTGTCCATCCAACGCAGCCCGTGGTGCGCCCTACGAAACCTTCACAAGCCTCCCGCATTGCACGTGTTCACGAGTCTCCGCCGCGTGCTCCGCGTTCTCCGCGCCGGCGATCATTCGCTCCGCGCGTCGCGTTCGCGTGCTCGTGAACCGTCGCACCGTGCTCCGAGTCCTCGCGCTCCGCGCCTCTCGCGCCTACGAACCTTCGGCTCGCGCTCCGCGCTTCTCGCGCCTTCGAACCATTGCACCGCGCCCCGCGCTCCTCGCGCCAACGAACTAGCGCCTCGCGCTCCGCGCCTCTCGCGCCTACGAACCTTCGGCTCGCGCTCCGCGCTGCTCGCGCCTCCGAACCATCGCCGCGCACCCCGGCTTGTGCCCTTCATAGTGGCGACCCCGTGCCTTGAAGCGAACCGCCAGCATGGAAGCTGTAATGAAGAAGCACCTGACGACCAAGGGTCTGATCGATAGATTCTGGGACAACCTTATCAAGGTAGGCAAGGAAAAAATGACCCAAGCATATCTGAAAGCGCGTCTCGAGTTGCTTGAATCATACTGGCGACGATTTGAGGGGGGTCATTACAACCTGATGGATTATGACGAGCAGGAAGTCGAGGACTACCTGAAGGACGATCACTACACAGCGACTGAGGACAACTACGTGGCAATCAAGTCGAAATTGACGTCCGTAATCAAGGATGGGAGTGCCGTCGGGGGAAAGGATCCGGCATCCGCAACATCCTCGCTTCTTAAGCACATTCAACTGCCAAAGATAAGCCTGCCTACCTTCAACGGCGATCAATTGGCCTGGGAGAGCTTTCGGGACTTGTTCCAAGCGCTCGTGGGTGGCGTGCCGGATCTGGCCCCCGTACAGAAGCTGCAATACCTGAAAGCGAGTCTGACTCACGACGCCGCCGCGGTCGTTGCTAACATTGAGCTGAACGATAAGGGCTTTGACTTAGCGTGGTCGGAGCTTGTGTCGCGTTACGACAACCGACGAGTTCTCCTAGCGAGTCACATGCGCGCCTTTCTGACAGCCGCGCCGGTCATTAAACCGTCGCCGGTCGAACTCAAGCGTCTGAGCAGCTCGGCGCTGCAGGCTCAACGCTCATTTGAGTCTCTTGAGCGCCCAGTTGCCCACTGGGACGATTGGTTCGTCCACGTCATCGTGGAGAAGCTTGACTCATCCTCGCGGCTTCTATGGGAGGCCTCCCTGCAGACGTCCACGGAATTTCCGACGCTCGGCGAACTGCAGGACTTCCTCCAGACCCGCATCCGGGCCCTGGAAGCAGCAGCTCCTAGGACGACCGTCGGTACCCCCACTCCTGCGGGTAGAGCCGCTGAACGCAAAGGCAAGGTAAACGCGCTGGCGGCGTCGGCTTCCGACCAGTCAAAGCGCGGCAGGAATTGTTCCATGTGCCAAGGTAACCACCTCTTCAATTATTGCTTCAAATTCAAAGAACTTTCGGTGCCTCAACGACGGGAGCATGCCAAGAAGCAGGGCGCGTGTCTCAACTGCCTCAAGCTGAAGCACACGGAGTCTAACTGCCCGTCTGGTTATCGATGTCTGCGCTGCGGTGAAAAACATCACTCATTGCTTCACCTTTCAGATGACTCGGCGACGTCAAGCAAAGATACTACCGAGAAAAAGGTGGGCATCAGTGCCACGCCTAAGGCGGACACGTCCGCGGGAACGGCAGTTACATCTAATGTGGCAGCCCTCGCCTGCGCGACCGAGAACCAGGTTCTGCTCTCGACGGCCCAGCTGACTTGCTCCAATCCAGAAGGTGGCGAGTTGACCGTCCGCGCCCTTCTGGACTCCGGCTCTGAGGCTTCGTTCGTTACCGAGCGGGTCGCCCAGAGCCTCCGCCTCGCCAGGAGGCGAGTCCAGGTACCGGTGTCGGGTATTCAGGGGGCAACCTCGGGCGTCGCCACGCACGCTGTCGCGCTCGATGTCGGATCACCCCGGGACCGCAACGTGCGCTTGCATTTGCCGGCGGCGTTGGTGCTGCCCCGGTTGACGTCACGCCTTCCGGCTCGCCCTGTGACACGAGTGGGATGGCCACACCTCGCCGGGTTGGCGCTCGCCGATCCGGACTATGGCAACCCTGCCACCGTGGACGTTATCCTTGGAGCTGAGGCTTATGGGTGCCTATTGCGGGAGGGCCTCCGACGGGGTCCCGACGGCACGCCCTCAGCTCAGCATACTGCCCTGGGATGGGTTCTCTTAGGTTCAGCGCCGACCGAGACGACGAGCCTCAACCGGCGCGTCACAGCGCTTCACGCAACCAGCTCCTGGTCTCAGTTGGATGAAGCCCTTCAGCGGTTCTGGCACCTTGAAGAGCTGCCTGTCGATTCTGCCGCTACCCCGGAGGACCTCCAATGCGAGAGTCAGTTTGCGGCTACGCATTCCCGCGACGCGCACGGCCGGTATACGGTGCGCCTGCCTAAGCGCGCGGACGACGGCATTCGCCTGGGTTGCAATCGGCAAGAGGCGCTCATGTTGTTGACGAGTCTGGAGCGGCGCCTGATGCGCAATCCAACGCTCCGAGAACTATATGTGGCCTTCATGACCGAGTACCTGCAGCTGGGTCACATGTCCGCTGTCCCGACCGCGAAGATACGCCAACCCGATGCCTACTATCTGCCGCATCATGCGGTCTTCAAGAAGGAAGACCCGTCAAGGAAGATACGCGTTGTCTTCAACGCATCATACCGCACTGCCACGGGCTATTCACTCAACAACCTACTTCTCGCCGGGAAGAAGTTGCAGTCAGAACTCTGGGTGACTCTTTCCCGCTGGCGCCTTTTCAAGTACGTCTTCACGACGGACATCGTGAAGATGTTTAGACAGATCTTAGTCCACCAAGACGACACCGATTTGCAACGCATTTTGTGGCGATCGGATCCTAGCAAGGAGGTGCAGGACTATCGCCTGCAGACGGTGGTCTACGGCACCGCTTCAGCCCCCTACCTGGCACTGCGGACGCTTCTACAGCTAGCTGAGGACGAAGGTCCTCGATTTCCCCGCGGCGCCAGCGCTATCAGGACTCATTCGTACGTGGACGACATCCTCCTGGCAGGTGGCCACACCCGTGAGGAGGCGTTGGAAACCAAGCATCAAACGCAAGCGATCCTCGCCGCTGGCGGGTTCGAACTGAGCAAGTGGGCGGCAAATATCCCCGAACTCTGCCCCGGAGAGTCTAACGAGAAGGTCTTCTACGATCGCGAGGGAGTCAGCACCCTGGGTGTCCTGTGGTCCCCTCGAGACGACTGCTTCTCTCTGCGGGTGGCCGTTGTCGGATCGGCGGATGCCCCTACTAAGCGGACGGTGTTGTCGGACGTGGCGCGATTCTTTGACCCACTCGGGTGGGCCGCTCCCGTTCTAATTTTTGGTAAAATCTTTATACAGGATCTCTGGATGGCTGGACTCGCCTGGGACGACCCGTTGCCAGAGCAACTACGAACCGTGTGGTCGGGTTATGCCGCCGCCTTGCCTCAACTGGAGTCGCAGCGCATTCCACGCTTCGTGGACTACCCTGGGCCGGGAAACACAGCCGAGCTGCATGGCTTCTCAGATGCCGCCAACCGCGCCTATGCAGCAACCGTCTACCTCCGCTGTATGAGCTCTACAGGTGTCGTATCGGTGAACCTCTTGATCGCCAGGGTGGCACCGGTCAAGACGGTCTCCATACCCAGACTGGAATTGTGCGGAGCCGTGCTATTGGCACGCCTCCTACGCACGACCGCACGCGCGCTGGAGCTGGAGAACGCCCGAATCTATGCGTGGACTGACTCGACCGTGACACTGGCGTGGCTCCGTTCCCACTCTGCGCGTTGGAAGCCGTTCGTGGCGCACAGAGTGGCGGAGGTGCAGGACTTAGTCCCTCCGGCGCAGTGGAGATACGTGCCGTCAAGGGACAACCCGGCGGACGCGGCTACGCGGGGCATTCCGCCTGCGGAATTGGCGAGCCTTGATAACTGGTGGACTGGGCCGCCCTGGCTTACGAGTGCGGATTATTCAACGGCCGAACCTGGCCCGACCGGTGACGATGCTGCGGAGGAGGAACTCCGCCCACGAGCGACGCTCGTCGCCAGACCGGAAGACGGCAACGACATCATGCGCCGTTATTCAGTAATGATGCGACTGTTGCGTGTATCCGCCTTCTGTCTTCGGTTCGCGCACAATGCGCGCTCTGCCGAGAAAAGGTCGGGTTATGTATCGGCGGAGGAACTGGGTGTAGCCCGCAAGCGGTGGGTGCGGATCGCCCAGGAGGAGGACTTCCCGCAGGAGACAACCTGCCTCAGGGAGAAAAGGCCGCTTCCGGCCAAGTCGCCGCTATTACCGCTTCGTCCATTCCTGGACCCAGAGGGACTGCTGCGAGTGGGCGGTCGCCTTCAGCAAGCGCTCCTCCCATTTGACGAAAAGCATCCCTACGTTTTATCCAAAAGAAGTCACCTCGCGCTTCTCCTCGTGCGCGAGGCACACGCGAACTCGCTTCACGGAGGGCCCCAGCTGACCCGGAGCCTTCTCCTGCGGCGGTATTGGATCTTGCAGGCGGGTTCCTTGGTTCGCTCGGTCGTTCATGACTGCGTGCGCTGCACCCGATACCGAGGAGTCAACGCCGAACAACAGATGGGTCATCTGCCTCCGGAACGCACGCGACCTAGTCGCCCCTTCTGGTCCTCTGGCGTTGATTATGCCGGCCCATTGCCCCTTCGCACCTGGAAGGGTCGCGGACATAAGTCCGTCAAGGGCTACGTCTGCCTGTTCGTGTGTCTGTCCACCAAGGCCGTTCATTTGGAGGCTGTGTCCGATCTCTCCTCCGGTTCCTTTCTCGCGGCCTTCCGACGGTTTATTTCCCGTCGAGGCCGCTGCCAACGCCTTATCAGCGATAATGGGACGAACTTCAGAGGAGCGGCTGGGGAGTTAAGGGCGATGTTCCGAGCAGCCTCCACCTTCTACACGGAGTGCGCGGCGAGCCTCGCCAACGACGGGACGGAGTGGGCCTTCATCCCTCCGGGAGCCCCCCACTTTGGAGGATTGTGGGAAGCTGGCGTCAAGTCAGTGAAGTACCACCTGAGGCGGGTCATCGGTGACGCTTGCCTCACCTTCGAGGAGCTGACGACATTGTTGGCGCAGATCGAGGCCTGCCTTAACTCTAGGCCGTTATATGCCATCAGCAGCAGCCCCTCCGACCTTGCTGCCTTGACCCCGGGTCACCTATTGATCGGGGAATCATTGACAGCCGTACCGGAGCCCCGAGCGCCTGAACCTGCCTCCAATCGCGTGACGACGCGCTGGTCGCTGACCACCGCCATGCGCGACCACTTTTGGCGCAGATGGTCGTCCGAATATATCCACCATCTGCAGCAATTGAATCGCTGGAGACGGCCAGCACCCAACTTGGCCGTGAACGACTTAGTTCTACTTAAAACCGAGCTGCAACCGCCCACCAAATGGGCGCTTGCCCGAATCACCGCTCTCTATCCGGGACCCGATGGTCTCGTCCGAGTAGCGAGCGTCAGGACGTCTGCTACAGTACTGAAGCGACCGATCACGAAACTCGTGCCCCTGCCTGTACCAAGAGACGCAGACAGGCCTCAGTAGACTTTCGTGGCCTTCAGCGTCACGGCGGGCGGTTCCCTGCCTTTAACACCAATCGTTTCGTCTATTAGACGAGGCGGGCGGTATATGTTCGCGAGATTCATTATTATAGCCATAGTTTGCGCCTGCTGGTCTGAATCGGTAGATTACCGTGTATTTGTTTTGCCGCGTGCCCGGTTTCTTCCCCGATCTCCCCTCGCTGCCTGGCGGACCGAGTAGCCTGGGAGCGGGGGCGACGGGAACGGGGGCACGCGGAGTCGATCGCTCAGGGATCCGCGTTTTCGGAGTTAGTTACGGCTACGATAGTCTGACGATAACCACGAGTCTGTAAACGATTTTAGAGAGTGACTCAATAAACGTGATTTTATCCACGGACCACACCGTCGACCTCTGCAAACGACCACGTGTTCCCCGGCTCCCTCTCCTGCCTCCGGCCTAACTAGTGCAAGGCCCGCTGCCTGATCTCTCTTGATCGGCAAGGGTTGAACACTAAATTTGTACAATTCAAAGGAGCGGTAAAACATATATCTGTAGCATACATGTAATTGACGTTAACACGAGTTTTCAAAAACGATCGAGCCATCTGTTACGTCCGACGAATTATTTTTCGTCAGACGCCACTATTCGAGAAGCATTAATGATCGCCCACCCGATAGATAGCACCGGCGCGACGCGGCACGTAGCACGCGCGCAGCACGTGCTCTCATACGTTCTCTATTCTGGAATTCTGGAACGTTCCGTGTTTACGCACTTCGGAGCGGCATAGCGGAACTCTATGCACAAAAACGCGAGATTGGTATGCGCATTAATTATTCGGGAATGCAAAATGCAGTCGATCAGGAGTAAGCGGGAAAATGACGAGCGGAGGCCCCACTTTAAGCTAATCTAGACTCAAGTTAGTCGGAGTACTAATTCGGGTACAAATTAATAATTTCGGAAAATGGTCGAAGGGCCCCCGCCCATCACCACTTCCGCACTTGCCCCATAAGCTGACGGTATATAAGCCGGGCCAGCGGAGCCCGAAATAGCATTTAGTTCTCTGAGCTCTGCACAGAACGAACCACTGCCCGACGACGAGATAAGCTCTGACTCCTGGAGTTCACTATTATAGGCCACATCGCGATCCTCGACGTAAGTTAAAGTGCTTAACCATCGGGCTAAGTCGGCATCCCGTTAGTGCGAGATTCTACCGCGTGTGCAAAACTCTGTGGCCCACGAAACGACCACCAGGAAACCACCTCCTCGACGACGACGCTCATCTCTCTCTCTCTC